CATGCATCACGCGAAGCGTCTGATGCATCCAGCGCATCCGGATGCAATGTGCGCGAAAGGCGAACGCCTGGAGATTCGGCCGAAGGTGTGTCTGGAGGTGGTTCGAAGGTGGTTAAAGCCGGCTCGAGCTAGTTGGACGGGCTAGGGATGGTTCACCGTGTATCAGCCTGCTGTCTCCGCCAGATCGCTGGCTGGTTTACGTTTGCACATGGTGCATCGCCGTTGCGTTATCGGTTACACGGCTGTCTGCCGCCTGTGCGCGCCCGTGGATGTCTATGGGAGATTCTAAAGTATGTACAGGGGATATATGGGAACTTAGTTCGACGGATGTCGCGTTGATATAGTCTGACAGGGATTCGTCTAAGTGCTGGAGCATCATGCGATATATTACTGTTTACTTCCGGCGGAAATTGGATTTGGGGCTTCCGATGGTGAAGCAGACGCGTGAGCATTGAGTGACGCGTACAAGGGGGATGAGTATTTGATTAGTTTTTGTAGTAATTAGCTGATGCTGTTTTTTTCTAAAAGTTCGACGGTCGCTTTAAATTTCCATTATACTTATGAAATATGTTGATTTCATAGATCTATCATAAATATTATTTCTTAGCAATTTATGTTTGTTTACGACAACAAAGTTTGCCCTCCTTTTTCTCTTGACCTCTTAATTTCGAGAAACTTTGTTCGTCGATAAAATGATACTATCATTTTGACTTGTTTTAAATAGCTCTATGGGTCCAAGAAGTAACAGCAGGGGAGAGTAGGGTGAATCGAAACACAAATGTTTTTCGTAGATAAGCAGCCCGTGTCGAGCTGGTGTTACATGACATAGACCTAATAAATCTTCGGTATTGTCTGTGATCGACTGCAGATCAGTGCAGAAGTATTATCTACGAAAAACATTTGTGTTCCACTTCACCCTACTCTCCTCTACATATTGCAGCTTATATAGGAAGAGTTCAACGACCTACTAAATTGCAATGACGTTCAAATGATCTTCTATTTGCAAATGTGGAATATATACCGAAAATCATTAATAATGAAGTAACCAGAGCAAGCACAATCGCAAAAAGAGTCTTAGAACTCAGCCAACCGAATGATAGGAAGATCTGCCTCCTTTGAAGTAAGTCGCTGTATGACCAACTGTGGATATCTCACCCTTTCCTTTTGTTTATTTTCTGTTTTAACATTTAATGAGTCTTGAACTGAAGTTACTTGCAATTTATCAAGTATATTTCTTGCTCCTCTAAAATACAATTTCTAATAAAATTTAGTAAACGAGTTCAACTAGATATAATGAAAAAAGTTATAGCTTTGTTTCACACGGTGAAAATCGTACCGTTAAGCGCGATGCGCGGTGGCCTAAGCGTTAAAGTAAGAGAATAAGAATCACTTCCGCCAATCTCTCGAGCACCACCCTGTGCACCTGTGATCCAGTAGGATCAGATTCGGTAAACGAGCGGGGAATCCTCGTAGCGGAACACACGTGTGCCGTGCATTACCACGCGAAGACACATTACACGGACCCAATGAATTCACCCGGCACACGCCGGTTGCTTATAATTACCGAGATCCCCGGAACATTCACGGATAATTGTATCGCGTCACCTAATTGCATCCTGTTATCAATTCACTGCCGGCGGGGTAATCTCCCGCGGTTTGCTGACGCTTAGCCGTTCAGCCGCTCGGTTTCGCGTACTTTCACTTGTCAGGGATAATTTGATTACGTCGTTCCGCTAGACCAGTCCATTTTCAGTTGTTAATATTCGTAATGGCAGGCAGAAGCGGGGACCGGCGCAATCCTGCGTAATGCAACTCTCGAAACGTTAATTTACGTTAATGTGTCCGGGGCACGTGAGAAGCGGCACGGCGGCACGAATGCGATTGCGGAATTCCTTCAGGCCTGGTGCGGCGAAAACGCGCGAGAACGTGAAACTTCGGGCGTAGTCGACCTAGAAGATAGGGATGGGGAAAAAAATTCACGGCCCCTAAAATTTGATAGGCCACGGGCCGATCCATAAATTCTCCACGGCAGTTAAAGCGTACATTCGACGAGGTCGTAAGGTGAAGCTGAATTGAGTAGTAAAATGTAAATTCCAGACGACCGCCAACGAGAGGCGCGGTTCGTAAATCTGGGATGTGAATTCTCTGATACAAGGACCGTTTTGAGAGAACGGATTACAGGACGGATTCTTGTTACGCGCGATACACTGCCAATACTTCATTTGAGAACCGCTTAATAAGATGTTTGTAATAGGAAGCAAGAGAATTCGCGATGAGTGTCTTGCTCACCCTATATTCCTGGCGTGTTGTTCGAGGAAGGTATTACGGATTCTCCGCGCAGCGAAACGATGTTGAGACGGCTTCCGTTCCTTGTCGGTAGCACCGTGACAGTATAAATAGGTCAAACGTTCGGAATCTTCTTGCGAATTAAGGGGAGCTGAGATTTTTCGGTACACAGACTTAAGTAAATGTAAATAGTTGTGAACGGTAGGGAAAGTTTGGAGTTAAACGCTTCAGTAAGCAACGCCGAAAGTATTAACTTCCGGCTGAAAGGAAATTTATCCGTGAGATGCAACTGAAATTAACTTGCACGGCAGAAAATTCACGACCTGGTCGTTAATGGGCCGAGACTCAGGTAAACGGTCACGCTTACAGAGATCTATTTTTGGTGGTTATTTACATGAATGATGTTAAGATGTAATAAAACTTCGAGTTTGATTTATGGAAACTTTGATTAATTCGGCTTATCGAATTTTTGAAACTGTGTTTATATCGTGACAAATTAGTAAAATTTGAATACTGAAGAAAAATTAGTTAGGTTTAAAACACGAATGTTTCTTTTTGATTCTTGAGATTGAAATTTCTGGAAGCGTTTCTCAGATATTCGTTGTTCTTGTTCGTGCATAATTTTTATATATTGCCAATAGAGTTTCGAATGTTATTTCATTAATGGAGAATTTGGACGTTTTCATGCGTATTAATAATAAACGTATGATTTACTGTTAGACACTAGAAATTATTAAAATTATTAACAAATAACATTTTTCTTTCTTCTATTATTTTAACAATAATCAGTGGAACTCTTAATTGCATAGCTTGGTATTAGAAATGTCGTTTAGATTTATTACATTTATATTAACTTTAATGTCACTCGTTTTAACGCATTTCCATATTTGTCGATAAACCAAATATTAATCTACAGCTCAAAATTCACATAAAAAGATAAGAAATTACACCTTTAAATCGTTTCTTATTTCATTGATTAAATATTCTTATAAACAATGTTGAAAATGAAATGTACATAACATCACTCCTAAATAGTCAACACAACGTTATTTCATCAGTAGGCATCACGAATCTTACTCGTAACCTTGCAGTGCATTCTAAATAAAGTTAGTTAAGCAAACTTTGCATTTCCTATATAACGCTAGCTCCATGCAACAAGTTCTGAAACTAAAACTGACTTTATGTTAGTCTGTCGAGTTTGGTCTTGAAATTGGTTTGTGCGGATTCGTGATTGACTGATACTCCTTAGAAGAAAAATTCTATATGGCCGATATATGAATGTTCACATTAAATTTATTTTTAACAGTGTGTGGATATTCGAAAAGGAGTAAAGAAGTCATTAAACAGAAAATATAACTAAGAATGTTTAAGGATAAGGATGCATAACAGATAAAAGTACTTTCTAATCCTTTCTGTTAATAACAGATTTAAAATAACAAAGGATTGATGTACAGAAAACGTTTTAACACTATACTTACCGACGGAGGCAAAGGTCACCTTTAAAAATCTTAACTTAAAATTATTTTCTAAGTTCAATAACTTTTTAAACACAAGGTGTCGTTTGAAATCTTGGGTAAAAGTAATGTTAACTTTGGAACGCCACCTTCTTTAACATAACTACAATTAAGATAGAACCTCTCTAGCAAATTACGAGCAATGTACTTAGACACATAATGACTGGTTCCAAATTCCAAGCTCGACAATTTGTTCTCTTTAATGTTCTTCTCCTGAAAATTCCTACGCAGGTGGGTTAAAATGGATAAGCGAAGAATTCTCGCAGAAATTTCCAAAATTTCCAACAAACCAACAAAACTCCCATGTAAACACTAGCGATCCAAATTCCCTTATGGAATCTACGACGTTCCTTACCTTTCGATTCGACTCGCCGCGGCATAATTCCCAGAGGAGACACAAGGCCAGGGAGCATATTCCGGTTTCTTTGGCGAGCGTGGCCAGTGTTGAGGAGATGATGGCCAATAACAGGGGGAACGGTGATCTTGTCTGATCGCAGTGGGCGCAGTACGCCAGGAAGGCTGACAAGGTCAACAAGCAAGCGAGGAGGTCGGCGCGACCGACCACGCCGGCCACGGCCTCGCTGTGAATCGGGTGCACGGCGAAGAGGAAGCCGGCGATCGCGTGCCCGAGGTTGTTTCTTCCTGGTAAAACCTGCAACGTGAGAAATATGCAGTGTATACGAGGACAATGGGCGAGGACCGTGTGTTTTTCGGTCATTGTTCGGGACAAGAAAAGCGGTCGCGTGCTTCGGCCGAGTCTTTATATTCGAGGACAATGAACCGAGGATTCGGAAGAGACCAGCGGTGGCAGCGATCTAATTCAGGACTCAATTTACGCTCATCATAAATGCAAGACGGCGAGCAAAAATCTGGACTGTGGCTGGTTTTTGTTTCTGTGAAAGATTGTAACGTTGTGAAAGGGTTTGATGAGGTTCAGTAGACAGAAAATTACAGTTTCAAATGACTTCAATGTGGGATAGTTCGAACGGTCTGTCAAGAAAATCTTTTTATTAACGCGTTAACAGTGGTGTTATAATTTATATTTCGTTTTATGGGGTTTTATTAATTGTACCTCCTTCTGTTGGGTGATAGTACTATGTTAGAACTTGGAGAATTACATGGTTAAAGTTAGAAAAATTGACATAAATAACTGGGTAGTGTTTTTACAATTATCTCAGTTCTTTCTCGTTTTGGAACTGTGATCCATACTTAAACGTTTAATATGTGGTAGTGAAATAAGGAATGCTACTATTTAAATTACGAGAAGGACAAGTAAAGATTCCAAAATCAATACGTTTTTATGATTTTTAAAGATATCATCTGCAATTCTTCTGAAAAGTTAGAGTAATTTGTTTGAAAGCCTACGGCTGATATTTGGTAGCTTTGCAGCGATTAGGAACAACAATATATGAAAGGATAACACGAATGTTTCACGTGTTATGGTAGCATTTCGGAATCTTTACGAAGCGTGTGAGTGATTGTAAATTGGTAATCGAGAGTAACTGTGTGAATAAATGGATATTCGACATGCAATGCGTGTTGAAACATGTATCATTAAAACGATCAGAGTTAGGCTTGATATATGCTAACTGGCTGTTCATGGTTTGATCACATTTCGCTCTTGTATTCACACAAATATTTTTCAACTGTTTATAAGGAGCGTAATCGTACTTTGAGTAATGTGGCAGTTTGAACGGTAGAAAGAATATTTCATTGGAAGAAGTGTTTTATTTCGACTTCGGGCAAATGCCGACGATTCGTACCTTCGACAGTGGAAAAGTGTATAACAATAAAATTTTATATTTTAATTTTATATTTTAACAATGAAGGAATGGATAGTTTTAAATTAAAAAACTATTTTAATTGGTGTAGGTGTGATTCATATTTTACCCTCGAGTGTACTTATATTAGCAGGTGAAAAGTAAAATCTACGAAAGTTTGTTAATTTTCAAATGAAATACTCATTGCATTTGTTAAAAATAAATCAGATTTGTGAAATTTATAAATGCTATTTTCCAGAAATTTTACATTAGTCTTACTTTCTTCTTTATCGAAAATGTTTAAATATTGGTTTAAATGAAAATATAAAAGAAGCTTTTTAAGCGTGCGAACGACCTCTTTCCATCCAGATTTAGGAGTCAAAATTTGCAAACCGAGAACGGGAAAAGTTTTCAGTTCTGTAATTATCATTAAATCAACTATAATCATCAGCCTTCCCGAAAGCATCAATATCAATTTATACTGTTAATTTTGATTGGCGATATGGAGCTCTTGTCGCATTGAAATTTTTTCAAAATTTTAATATTGATTTGTATAGAATTATATTTTGAAGTGTATCAAAAAGCGTTTAATTTATATTTAAAAAAGTATATTTAAAAAAGATAGTGCCAACATCAAATTTTTCAGGTAGAAGAAGAGAGTTACCTAACATTACGCTGAACGTATGTCATAATGATGGTGTCATTGTTGACTACTTACAAAACGAAAATTACACTTAAATTGTATACTACAAGATAATAATATAAGAACATTTTATTTCAGTTTTGACACTCACAGCGTTTTCTACAAGGACTCTTAAATTATGTTTACTTATTTTATGTTCCATTATATATTATCATATAACAAATCAATACAAGATATAAACTTCGTGTTTCTGAAAATAAAAATGTTGCCTGCATGTGCAGGGTTAACTCCTTTTCTTAAAATATCGCGTTATACTCGTAATAAAGTTTTCAAACAGTATATAACAAACATAAATATAATTCAATTCGTTTGAATTTAAATTAAATATTTTTCTTCTATTACGAATTTTTATACTTCAGAGCAAAGAAAAACAAAGTATATGACTTTAATTCTCTCTTTTCAATAAATTATTAATGACGAAGTATTAGGTCGTCCCATAAGTTCGTACCGTTTATTTTTCCACCATACATATAAAATAATATTTGATTAAATATAAAATTCTAGTAACTTCATGACCTGTCGTTCTCTAATTCCTTCTACTGACTAAACAGAATCATAAGGGTTTAGACATTCAACTCCTCATTTCGCTCTGTGATTATAAAACATAATGCCAGAAGTATGAATACACCACGGAATGAACATACGGGACGACCTAAAAGTTATATCGGCCATGGTTGAAAAAAAATCATAGAGCAAGATGTCACAGGTATTTCAGTGATTAGCATGCGAGTTGAAACAGGACAGCAGCATCCAAGACTCGCAGATCGACGACCGCAGAGTCGTCGCCGGCGTTATTCGGGGGATTAAACGCGAAACAGGCGAGAACATGAACAGAACCGAAGCTCTTGAAACGGAACAACGGATTTCCTACGGTAATCCCGTTTCCATTACGATCACTGTGACCGATGACACGCGTGACCGTCAGAGCAGAGGAGACGCATCACGTCGGTTATTAACGTAGGTAATATTCCGGAATTAAGTGGACTGGTAAAATTTTATTTCCAATGACCGCCATAACATCTGGTATTATCAACTCTGTATGACACACGCTCTACAGGTGTCACTATTATCTCGTTTTCTACCGGCGGACATAAAATCTGGCCGACGCGACGGACGAGCTGCAGCGTTGATCAAAAAGCAGATGAACGCTAGCGTCTAGCTTTGCTACGGTCTGCCATGTGTGCCTTCTTCGACAGCAGTAGTTTCTTGTTTGAATATTCGATCAATTTCAATATGCTCAAGCTCTCATTTTATTTGACATTGTCCGACGAAGAAAAGATTTTGCTTGCCCTAAAAGCTACAGAATCAGGAAGGCTAGGGACAATGTCCACTGACGATGTTCAGGCCATCTTCCATGCATGGTCGTTACTGGCGCACGCAATAACAAAGAATGGAAGTGAGACCGAATGTGATGAAGTGAGATGTAACGGTAGAAAATAAAATTCATAGTGTCGCTAATTTCATTCTCTATCGTTACATCTCACTCCGTCACATTCGGTCTTACTTCCGTCCTTTGTTATTGTCACGCGCTAATAATTACTATGTGTGAAGGGCCGAGGCGGTTGGAACATTGCAAGTAGAAGTGTTCCCTTGTCTCCCTGACTTTTTAGCTTTTGGGACAAGCGAAGTCTTTTCTCCGTTCAACAATGTTAGGTAGTAGGTAAGTGTTTTACCTTCCTAGCGACTTTGACCACGAGAACGGTGCAAGCTGCGTGCAGCGCGACGTTCACTAAATGGTAACCCCACGGCTCCAGGCCACCCAAGAGATGATTCAGTCGGAACGTCGCCACGCAGAGAGGCCTGTAGCTACCGTGAGAGCCTTTGTCGTTCAGGGGAGTGCCCCAGAAATCATTCTGTAGCAGCTGATGCCAGGGCGTGCTGGATAGCAGGTCAGGATTCGTCAGGATGGCCCTTCTGTAACAGGAAGAGGAGAATACGTTGAGTTTATACCTTAATATTTCTGAAGTAGTGTATGCTAATTGAGTTAAAACAAGAATTTTACGGATCTTTTGAAAATGTTTTATTGAGAATTTTTATTAAAAATATATTAGATATATATAATTCTTATTAAGAATATTGTCGTTTTAAGAATATTTTTTTGAATGAAACTTTATTGTCCATTCTTTGTTGGTGTCTTTTATTATCTATCGGGCAACTTCATTATGTGATCTCCAAACAACTTTCAACTTTTATTCAAGGAATTTCAGATACATTTTATAGTCACATTAGATTCTCAATGTTCTTTTATTTTGGAGAGTTTGATAACGAATAGAATAAACAATGGTTGTATATATGATGTATGAGGTAAGACCTTTCATTCAAGCTTTAAGAATTTATTGTGAGCCATTGAAGTTATGATCTTTTATTTGTTAATTCAGAGCATACTTATTCAACTGCAATTTATCCATTTCTATGTTATATTCACACCTTTTTTTTTGTTGCGTCCATATATTAATTTTTAAGTTATATATACACTATGGATTTTTGTCAACGTTTTAAAAATCAGTTCATAGTATAAATAGTAGACGTAATGCATGCAAAACTGAGTCCAGTATGCAGGTAGAAGTTTTTTCGTATAAGGCTTCATTTCCGAGGAAACCGAATTTCATGGAATCCTGGTTATTGTAAACTTGATCGCATGCATATCGTATCAAATTTCAAAGTCAATTTCAAGAGAGCATTGCTCGAATAAATTTCGTTGTATATTCCCGATTTACTTTTAAATTAGAAATCCCTTTATTTTCGATTCCGCTAGTTTTATAACCATCCTATCACCTACCGTTCCAAATTTATATATATTAACACAAAGATACTGTTGGTTCAACAATGTATCAACAAATTTTCCATACCAGACAAATCATTGAATAAAATACGCACTTACTTATAACCGGAATACAGTTCAAATATTTATTAGTACCTAATTACTTCACAAATCTGTCAAACAAAAACAATGAAAATTTAAATTTCGCTTGTAGACCGCATTGATTGAATACAGATTAAATTGCGTTCCCTAAATTTCATCAATACATGGAAACATTCCAGCGCAAATGCAGATTAATGTAATCCCCCAAGCTGCTATCGGAAAATGAAAAACTCGAGCGCAGGAATACCGGAATTCTAAAAATTGTTATTACCAGATACTCCTTTGAAAGTTACAGAACACCAGCAAAAAAGAGCCTCTCTTTGCAACGTCCGAGGCAACTCCGAGAATCGAAGTTCGTCGAGCCTCGAAGTTTTCCTCCGTAGCTGATACCCGGCTGCTATCGGCCAATTAACCAGTCTGTCACTCGGAACGCGCGCGAGGGCCAACATGCGAGCCGGTGAAAGGAAAATTCTCTTTGCCCTGGGGATGTGAATCGCGCGTCCATCAAAACCATCCACGCGCCACCAGTTAAAGGACTCGACGGAGCATCACGAGCAATAGCGCGAAAACAAAGTCCGCGGCGCGGCATTGGATGCGTAACTGCTTGGGTAATGATGTAACGAGCGCTCGTTTGCGCAAGAGCTCTTCATCCCGCCCACAAAGCGGCGTAATAGGGCATCCTACGGCCTCGCGCCGCGTTCAAACCATTTTTAATTACTGGTTATCACTGACAATCGTGATTTACAAGTACAAGTACACTGTGGAGCGGAACTAGGGAAACTGTAAAGCAACCGCAGGCTTCTTTAGCGACCATTTGCGTTATGATATAAGAATGAGAAATTCTTTTTCCATTACGGCTAAGTACGAGTGTTTAGAAGAGTTTAATAGTTCAGTGGTTTCTGGGTGGTATATGTGAAGTAAATATTAATTTCTTAGATCTTCGAATGTAAATGATATAATATATAATAATATAATATATAATAATATAATGAAAAGTATGTAATGATAAAATAATAATAATTTAATAATAATTTAATAATAATTATGGTATAATTATTGTATAGAAACTGATAATAATGATTTCGAGTGCATGTAATCATGTTTTTCAATAAAAATTATATATATCTTCATTTTCAGATGGTTAATCTTTATTTAATCATTTGCTTTTCGCAGGTCAGCTTTTTCATTGCATCAGTCGAGATAAGAAATAATATGAGATATTGATAGAAAAATAAGAAATAAATAAATGGTGCTATTGTATAATTTTTAACGTATAAGTAACACATGTAGACGTAGGTTCTAGGCAGAATAAGCGTTGGTTGTTTCTATAGATGTATCTAGCTGAAAATGAGACATGGATTTCGGTTCGGACAGCGTGACAGTTTATATTTAAAGAGAGAAGTGACAAATTTCACTGTCTAAGAATCGAGGATATTGAAAGTGATTGACAGAAAAGAGGGCATATGAAATACGAATATGGTCTTATCTGAAAATATTTGAAGTACGATTTGTCTCGTTCGTTCGTTCGTATGCCAATATTCTACTTCTTCCACCAGCTATCGCGTGTAAAATCGACCAAAATAAGGAAACCATTTTTGGTATTACGTGCGGTTGTCTACTACGAAATAGCTACTATCACCGCGGCGCGCCCGGCCACCTCCAGAAACAGCAGGCATAGCAAGAAGATCCAATACAGCGTGACCAAGCGTGTTTATGCAAAAAGTGTTATATTCTGTCTTGAAACTGTAAAAACATTTGTCGGAAACTGACCGAATAATACAGTATTATAGTACCTAATGACTGGTTAAATGTAATATTTCTTTAAGTATCACCCTTACAACAAAATTCATCGATACATATTAACTATACATAACATACAGTAATAAATATACACATAAAATCGAATAAGAAATTAAAAATACAAAAATTTAATGCTTAGTTTAACAACATACATGTGACCATATCGATTTCTATTTAAATACATTAATTAAAATACATTAGCAACTGTAAGAGTACTATGAATAACGTCTCCAATAAGTTCCGAATTATTTCGGACATCGATAACGAAGAAAAATTTCTATCATAATGGTTGCAACTCCAGAGTGACAACTACACACGTCCTCGCGTTACACTTTTCAAAGCCGCAGTCATTCGTCCCAAGGAACAAGAACAGCGCACCGCGCGTCGGTAAAATTGGCAGCCATGTTGGAATTAATAATGCCAGCAAAAAGCAAAAGTGATGCATCGAGCGTCGTGGCTCGAGACACATTTTTGTTCGCTGTCCGTGCAGGTTGCTCGTTATTTTCGTCGCGTCCCCGGCAACGAGCGCCGAACGGGGAAGCTCCGGTGTGTGCCCGCGGCATTTTAATCGGCGAACGATCGATATTCATGAGCGTCGGGCGGAACGCGATGTTTCGGCTCGTCTCGAGACCCTGATACCGGAGGCGACGCACCTGAGCCATCGTTGGGGGAAATGGAACCAGGGCTCGATGAACACCCGGCCAATAATTTCGAATTCCACAGGCCTCCAATAAGCCGTCCGCCCTCGCCATGAATCGTGTCGCATTTTCTACGTGAGCCCGTGCAATCGACGTCGGAAACAAGACCCACCGGATTCTTCTTACAGGGAATTTAAATCGGGCACCTGTTTCGTGTATTACTGACGGGCAAATCTGGATCAATGCGACGAAACAACGTGTTCCGGGGGAGAAAAGATATCCCCGTAGCCTTCCATCTAATATGTTACGGCGTGCGCAAATATTCGCGCTCGTGGTTTGAACGATTCGTTCTGTAATGCTCATCTCCAACGATAAACCACCCCTTGCCGTATTTTTTAACTATGATCGATACAACTACTGTATCATTCATAATTGATTAGGAAACGAAACGATTTTGATGCTTGTTCAATGTCTATATTCATTCCAAAGGTCAGTGATTGATAATAAGAAAGTAATATTTAACTTGTATTTAAAAAATAATTAACATTTAGATTTTCCAAATTCAGTTTCAAACCTTTATCACGAGTTTGACACGATATTGTAGGTCAAGGGATTAATTCCAATAGAAGAACTTTAAAATTGCCCAGAGAGGAAGACATAGATCGCAGGGTGAAATGAAATGTGTAACTGTTTAACTGGTTTTATGTTTACAACATACAAAGTGTTCTGATTATTTCTTGATCCTCGGATAACTTATTGTCGCTAATGCTTAGGTTTCTTTGTGGGTAGCGTTTTTGGATTGGTTGTTCCCTTCAATGCCCTACACCCCTGACAACAGCGTGGGGGTGAACAGTTACCTTGCCTTCGACTGCTTGTCAGGGTGTTATTCTCTATCATGGGAAAAACCCAAGTGGTGCAGAAATTCGGAGTCCTAGACACTGATTGCCACGTGGCTAGAACTTTCTCGACACCTAACTTACAGATGCTCAAGAACTCCGCTTTATTGACGACCGGGCGCTGAAGGGCCACTCGATATTGGACCTGCTTGTACTTTACGGAGTCTATTGTATATCTCGTGTCTGTTTTGTGTCGCAACACGGCATAATATAAATTCCACGATTGAATAGCTATACACGACGCGATGCGCGGAGAACAGCACATCCGAACGGCACGCGATTCTATTTACAATGACGAATGTAAAGTATACAATGGCACTCGGATCGTTGGGACGACCGCGGCGTTCACGAAAATCGAATTCAATTTGTCTGTTGCGCGCTCTTTTTGTTTGCGACGAATGCTGATGCGTTATCGCTTTTCCATTTATATTGTTATCTTCTAATTGAAAATTGATACCGGGATCATTGTGTTAGAAGCTCGCAAAAATGTTCGTTGTCGGGTTCGAAGAGAACTGAGGGCGAGATAGGCTATTGTTACTCGTGATCGAAACATTGATGTTCGTGGTTGTTTGGGCAACAAGTTTCTGCTGTTAGGGGTCAGTTTCAGTTGGCTCAAGAATGGAGATCGAAAGGGTACATATCTGACGCTGTACGCTTCGTTACTTCAAAGAGCGAAACACTGTTATAGAAACGATTGAAATGATTTGTGGTACTTAG